GGGCGGCTGCTGCGGCCGCGCTGACTGGTGACTCGCGGTCGGGAGCTCGCGTTGTGCTGGGGCGTGGGCACCGTGCTCCTGCGGGCTGAGCCCTTTATTTTGCGCCACAGCTGGTGTTTGTGCGTGCGAGGGGCAGGCGGAGCCGGTCTGCGGGGTCTCTCGAGGGATCCACCGCTCTCCGCTGACCTGTGGGGTCTGGTCCCCGTCAAAGCGATTCACACCTCGCGTTCTCCTGCTGTAGCTGGTAGACCTGTTGACCTCAGTAGGATTTCTTAGCAAGTTAAGCAGTACATTGCCAGCAACGTTCGTTCCCATCTCTATGCCTCTTAATTACACGGGCTGCCCTCGCTACAAGAGTGTGACGCACTGGACACCCTCTCTCATCAGCCAGCGAACCGCGCCCCGTCAAAGCGATTCACACCTCGCGTTCTCCTGCTGTAGCTGGTAGACCTGTTGACCTCAGTAGGATTTCTTAGCAAGTTAAGCAGTACATTGCCAGCAACGTTCGTTCCCATCTCTATGCCTCTTAATTACACGGGCTGCCCTCGCTACAAGAGTGTGACGCACTGGACACCCTCTCTCATCAGCCAGCGAACCGCGATATGGAAGCTGACCACAGCACAATAGCTGAACTGGCAGAACAGCCCGTGATGGAGCAGGAGCTGGCACAGGAGCAGGTGGCACAGCTCTTCGCGCGTCTCGCTGCTTTGCTGCGCTGGCAGACTGGAGGCTGTCTTTTAAATTTTCTGTTCTGCTTTCTCATCGAAGTGCTACTTTATTGAGAAACACAGGTTAAGTATGCTTTCAAAAGTCTCTCTTCAAGCAGAAATACTTTTGAGATCAGAAGCTAGCAGCAAGTTTTTATGTGTGCCTGAATGCCTCCCAGGACTGTTTCTGTGTGCGGTGAAGTGTCAGTTCCTCCCTTTCTGGGAGCAGGAACTTCTGGTACGGACACTTGCTGACTAGGACACCTCATCTAGCTTCTCTCTGTTATCCTCCTTCAAAGCTGCCATTCATCTACTAATTTTCAAGACTCCGGGTAACTAATGCTGAAGTTTCTGAGCCCGAGTTTCTTGCTGCAACGCAATTATTATTGTAATCTTTGTGGCTGAAGTGTTCTGAAGGTGTCATAGGTGACTTTTGAACAAAAAGGGCACTGAGAAACGCTTGTCCTGCTGTACTCATTTTCTTATTTTTATGCGTATTGTGTCAAGGAGCAAGCTAGCTGAGGAGAAATTCTAGACCAGGTTTTCAACAGAAATTTTGGGAGTTTGTGTTTAGTTCTTCACTTAGACCATTTGAGGATTTTTTGTTGGGGTCTTTTAATACATTTTTTCTAGCAATCTTTTTGAAGAAGAAATGGCCAAAGCTTAATACATCATACTTTTCGGATTGTATAAGAAACTTAGATCTAGCTATCAGAGGGGACTTCCTTCTAGTGAGGGGATTCCAGAAGGAGAAGTGTCCCATTCAAGAAGTGATCAATAAACTGGAAGCTGATCCGCTCTGTATCATTTCTATGGCTGCTATGTCTGTTGCTTGATCTTTCATCTTTTTTTGTTGTTGTTTGCTTTGTGAATAGTTCCACTGGCTTTCTGTGGTGTTGCTCATAGGTTTTCCAGACAAAGTGAGAGGAGGGGGAAAAAATACAATTGTTGTGTCCTCTTCCTTACATATTGATGAGTATGTATGAATCTGAGAATCTGAAGGATCTCATGCTGAAAGTACTTGAAAACAGCTTGCTGCTGGGGAGTTGTTATTTAATCTTCCAGTGTTTCCTGCCCTTATAAACATAATAAACAACATTTTCAAAGGAATCTAGTGAATTTTGTGTTAGTTTCCACCCTAGTAAGACATTCTTCATTCTTTTTTTTTCCCTTGAAAATTTACATAAGCTGTCTAGTCTGCTCAGTGCTGGTAAAACTCTTGAGTTCTGCATCCGGATGTGAACATTGCTGTGCGAGAACAGCTGACCCATGAGAAAGAGTTCACAAAATAGCAGTGACAGCTGGAGATCAAGAAAGCATGATCTGTAAGGAAAGAGGGAAAGAACTGGAATTATTTAGCCCAAAGACAAGTTTGAAGGGGATCTAATATGTAATAAATGTTTAAAGTAGTAAAATGTTCTTGCATGGAAGAAAAGGAGCTGTTTTGTTCTCTGTATTCACAGCAAATAAGCGAAATTGGAAGAAAATTAGGGTTAGATGGTAGGGGGAAAGTTAAAATAACAGACAATAAGAAGGTAATTTAATAGTTTGGGAAGGCTGTGAAATCCACATCAAAGGTCTGTAAGAAAAGGTTAGACAAATAGTTTTCAAGAAAGGAAACTGAGATTCTGGCTTGGGAAGGAAGTCTCAGGACCCTCTGCCCCTGGCTTTTCTTGGACTGAATCATAGAAAAATATTTGGAGGATGTAAAATAAGAGCCACAGAAGCATAGCCTTTTTAACACCAGGATAGGTTTACATGCTATTTTGGAGGCAAACATGAGCTCACACAAAGCGACTGATCTGAAAGCAGTACAGCCACAACAAACATGGCCCCATGCCAAGCTGAAAAGGCCCACTGAGAGTGACACTATCTAGTTTCTGAGTGCCACATTGGAATCTTTTATCTTTATGTTGGCATTTTTGGCTGAAAGACAAAGCAAAGTGAGAACAGGATGCCTTTTAATAGTTTTAGATCCAAAACAAGACAGCTAAAAGCTTATTAAAATATATACAGAACACTACGATTAAACTGCATTTAACTATAAAAACATTTCAAAATCCTGTGTTTGTATGCTTTTATTTGAGTTCCTGTTGAAGTTATGTGCAAATCGAAATAGAAAAGAAGGTTTATGTGACAAATCAGGAAAGTCTCGTTTGCTGTTTTCTAGCGTGATACAATGTAGGAACCTCTGCAAAGTGTTGGTGTGCATTTGTAGCGTTTCTTCTCTGTAAGAAGTGCAAAAGGTACATACCTGCAGAATTTGAACAGACCTACAGGAATTTTCCTTTTTAATTTCTGCTAGGCCAGAAGAACACTTAAGCCTACTGTGAAAGAGTATTGAAAAGTATTTGCACTTTGAGGTGGTTTTTTTTCCACGTAGTTTGCTATCAGCATTCTCGATTTCTCAAAATACAACCTGTGCTGTGTGAGTTATTATGTATATTATATACTATATATTTATTTCTCTTATGAGAGTGTGTTTTAAAATTAAAAGTATGTGCAGAACTAAGAAGACACTTTTAAAATGTAGAAATTAAGAAAAAAAATTATTTTGCAGTAAAAGAGTGCTTGCTTGCTAGATGTTGTTCAGGTGAGGGGAGGTGTTTACATCACTTCGAATGCCAGTGATCCTTAGACAGCTTTTGTTTGCATGACTTGAACCTTGTCTTTTAAATATAGCAAGTGCATTTATCCATCAGTCCTTTATCTGTTGGTTCAGAGGTCTATAACCCTTTGTTTTATACCCCGCTCCAGTAAGCATCATCAGCCTCAAATAACGCAGCTGTTCAAGAGATAGCGAAACAGCTTCTTCTATAACAATTAGCATAAGGGGAACAGAATGTATACGGAGACTGAAATATATACCATTTGAATACACTTATACAGCAGATAAGCTGTGCAAGATGTGTATCACTAACTCTAGTACATTTCAAGAGTGTATTTCAGTACATGGGGATATGGCTGTACCTGAAATGCATGTCTGAGCTAGCCTTACGCAAGAAGTCTTTCAGTCCTTCCTGGCTGGTCTTAGAGTTGAGGTTCTCACTGAGCTGTTGTAAGATTAAATTCATTCTAGAAGTGTGTTATGAAACTGTGAAGAATAAATGAAGTAGAACAGCTTTGAGGTGTTTGGGTGAGACAAACAGATTCATAACTTGTAATCACTCCTTCAATATTCTGTGAAGTCTAAAGCTGCATGCGTGACAGCAAAGGGTTACACACTGCTTGTGAAAGTCTTTCAGAGCCTGAATTTACTTTTTTTTTTTAAAAAAGTCATTCATAGAGAGATCCAGCATTTTTATACATTCCACCTTCAAAATGAGTCTGATAGAGAAAGTAGCAACATTAATAAAAACTTGAGAGACATTATGTTTAAGCCAAGGTGTTTGAATCATCACATTTTTGTCATGAGCAGAACAGGTTTCCAGTGTTAATTCTGCCTTTTCTGTAAGTGTCTCTTCCACAATATTTTGCTTGGCTATCTTTACGTATGTTACAATATGTTAATAGAATCTTAACAAAAGTTCATTTTAATTTATTGTGACATTGCAAGAAAAGATTTAGTATATGCCTTAATTTAACTTTCTAAGCTTATCATGGGTCTGGTTATTCAAAGCTGCATGTACACTTGAGCTAGGACTCTGATGTATGCACGTTGTTTCTGTTCTTCCTAGTCAAACTGTATTTCAGACTCTTTACATGTTTAGAAAGTATAGGAAATCTGCTGAAAGAAGATCTCGGATATAAATGAAAAATAATTAATAGCCTCTCTGTGTGTGTTTCATAGGCTTTGAATAATTCAGAACCAAGGCAGAAAAGGGAAATGTAAAAATGGGGAAAATGCAAAAGTCTATATGGCTTGATAAATCAAACTACTCTTCAGACAGCCTGTACTGAGAACCTCAAAGTTTCTTTAGTTAGTGAAAACTAAATAAAAATTAAATTGTTGAAAGAATTGCAGAATCAGATGATTGGACAGTAGAAGTACAGAGATTATTTTAATAGTGGTTTTAAGTTTTGTGCTTCAGTTTCCCTGTCAGTAAGTGCTGTGCACATCAGCACTCTGAGTAGGCATAACCCTAGCATAGTGCTTGAGTTGAGTGTGTAGATGTAAAAGATTTTATTTTTTTTTTCACGTAGGTAGCACAAGGGCGTGAAAACAGAAGCAGGTAAAAAGAAGAGTTGGAGGACCTTTGGAGGAAGAATGGTGAAAAGGGAAGGCTTTGGGAACAGATTAGAGAAGACCAGAGAGACATCAGAACACAACAGGGCACAAAGAAAGAAAAAACATGTGTCGTGTCCTTCTGGTTGTCTTAATTTAGGTCTCTGTTTTACAAGGAAGTCAATTCAAGTCTGTGAAAAGCTGATCATCCCACACAAAATTAAGGGAGCAAGCCTCCAGGGGTATACTGAGAGAACAGTCTTTGTCTTCTGTGATTTTATGTTGGCATTCATTGTTGTTATGTGACAACGCATGTATGTGTGTGCATGTTTAATGTGTAGGACAGCAGTGACTTATTTCAGTGGATGTATTCTGGGAATACTGGAGTTCTCTAGTCTTTTGTCTAAACATTGAGGAAGTTGGTTAATTTTTTTAATTTGTTTTGTTGTTGTTGTTGCTTTCTGGTTCTGTATGCAACCTGGAAACAAAACCAACTGTTTCACTTTGCTATTTAAAGCATCTGGGTGACATGCTATACAAGAGAATGTAAATTAAGTGGTAGTCTCCTCTATGGCGAAGAGACTACGGATACATTTCTGGGTTGCAAGAGGAGGCATGTGTGATTTCAGCAGCTGACTGAATAGTATGTTTTTGTGGTCTTTACAAATAGACATACAGAGCTGAAGAATCACAAGTTAAAATGAGTAACCAAGAGGCTGATGTGCTACGTTGCTGGAGATGTAGAAAATATATAGCAAATTCCGTTTGCCTTGCAAAATGTCATGGAAAAGGACTGTCCGAAGTAAGTATAGTGTCTGGAGGGGGTTTGCAACTTTTTCCAGTGCAGTTGGTTTTAAATAAAGGAGAGGTATTAGACTTGCCCTCACTTATTAATTAATCTTCTGTGAAGATAAGCACAAATACATGGACAATTCCATGGTGAGTAATGTAAGCAGTAGTGCTACTGAAGCTGAGCAGGCAGTGATCATTTTTATGTTCTGTGACATAAAGGCTGGTATTCCAGGTACATTTGACTGCTAGATTGTGTAGAGTGTATAGTGTTACCATTTTTCATATGAAAATGGGTTCTGTTTTTGAGTTTTAATGCAGTCGTTTTTTGTTTTAATGTCTCTCAACAAAGAACTCGTGTTTTCTAAGGTATGTTTTAAATATTGATACTGCTTTCCACTGCTGTAGTTAACTGTGTCTCAAATATTTCTACATCAGAAAGATTTTCTCTTCATTTTGAAAAAGTTGCGGATAGTCTGTGCGCGAACATATTTCAGAAGATTAGCCTGCCCTGAGCAGGGAGGTGCCCTGCAAGGCTAAAATACAACTTAATAATTTACTTCACCTTTATTAAATTAAACAGAAAAATAATCATACAGAATAAAACAATGACAGAGTATTTCCTGGTACTTTATAATGGCAGTTAGTAATTGTAAAGAGTTAGAGTCTTTCCAAATATGCTAAGAAGACTGCTTACATCCTGTGATCTTGAATCAAAGTGAAAAAAGCCAATAGAAGGGAAGGTGTTGATCTTTTTTATTAAAGCACTAGAAATGCAGCAACGTTCTTTTTGGCACTGAAGAAGTGTATAACCAGTAGAGCAACAACGTTATTTTTTAAGAGCCTGATATAATTAGTGTTATTAGTAAACTCCGCTTTAATCACTCTGCTTACAGAGATTGAGGGTCTGGAATATTTTTCATGCTTTATACTTGAGGGATTTTTCTTCTGTGCATGGTTTGAAGCAGTTTTTGGGGGGGTGTGGGGAAATTTCACCTCCTTTGATGGAAAAAATGTAGTGAAAAGAAGGAGGTATCCTTGTCCATGACCCATGGTGGAGCTTTTGGTGGCTAATGCAGGTCCACCTTCATTGTGTGCAAGAGTTAAGGAGCTCCTTCTCTAATTGTGTAGATAACAGATAAACAAAAAGTAATTTAATGCTACTTCCCGAGACTTTTGGAGGCAAAGATTGTACGAAGATGAGAAGAGTAGTGTTTTCAGTATGTTGACTTTCAGTGATGAATTTTAGACCTTCAGTCAAAGATATAGCTGAAATAGGAGTGAAAGAGAAAAATATTAGAACAAATCTTAAAACCAAATGCTGAAGTGACGAATGCAGTATAAACACTTTAAATCAGAATTATATGCAAATTGAAGTACAGGTACTCTGCATACATAGGAGGAAGATGATAGCATGGACACAGCAAACAGATCTATCTGTCTGCTGTCATTACTTGGAGAATTTTTAAAAGCTTAGCCCTGCTTTCAATTTTCAGCATAATAAAACCTTTATTCCCATGAGTTTCATAACATAAGAGTCAACAATTTTCCATATTCATAAATGTTAACAACTGATTTTAAGACGTTAACACTCACCAGAGTTTTGTTATATTTTTAGCCATCTTTATAACTTTACTGACATTCTAAACCATATTAAAAGATTTCATTTCACTTGTATCACTTCTGTGCTAAAAGGTAGTTAGGTAATTGTTTTTATTTTAATATCAGTTAGTGAAATGTTACAGCTTTTTTTGGATTTTGTTTTCTCTTCAGTTGGTAACATCATTGCAGTAAAAAGTCAAAAGTTGCTAACAGTCCCTGGTTTCTCTGCTAGTTATTCTAACAAGCATTAGAAAATTAATTTAAAGCTATTTGTGGCATAGCTGTGCAGTACTGACCACAGTCCTCATGTAAACTAGAACTTAAATTTTCATGTCTTTATTGGAAAATTGTGCCAGCTGATAGTGCTTCTGAAATCAGTTTCTGAATATACTGGGAAGATAACAATTGCACAGTTTCTGTTCTTGTAAACAAAATCAAACCACCTCCAGATGCCTCCATCTCCACAGTGGAGTCTGACCAATGTCCTTAGATTGAGAAAGAGAGAAGTATTGACAACTTAGCTTAAAGAATGCACCAACAGCTTTGAGTTTTATCATTTGTTAATAAAATATTTACTGAATTTGGGAACCTGACTTCTGGCTATATTGAAACAAAAAAAAACTTACATGAATGTTGAATATCGTTACAATAATTCTTATTTTAGCAGACATCACAGCCTTCAGCTGCTACTCAGGAGTCTTGCAACATGTGGCATGGGAACCTGGAATCCATTCCAGCATGGGTGAATTGTGACATTGAAAAGGTAGATGTTTTTTTCCTTGCATCTTTATCATTGATCAAAATGTGAGATAAGTAAGGAGAACAAATTTCAAGGGTGCTGTTCTGCCAAGGTTCATGTATATTACAGAGACCTTCTAACTGAGGGAATTTTGCTCAGTAACTTCTATCATTGCCATTTGCAGAGGCTTTTTTCCCTCTTACATGCTTTTTTTTCATGTGTGCACAAAACCTGCACGTGATAAATTCCATTCCTCCTGATTTGTAGAAGAATGTATTTATGTTTGTTCAGATAACTGTCATGGACACTTCTGCATATTCTGTCAATGCTTAAAATTATATTAATTACCTAGGCTCTGGGTTTTGGTTTGTCTTAATCATTGTATCTTGAAGTACTAACACGTATATTGACAGTGACAGTAAGAAGCATTTTTCTCCGTAAAACTGGATTGTGGGTTTGTTGTAGACCAGTTGTTGGAATATGATGTGATGTCATTTATAGTTCATATGCTATTATGTAATGCAAATAGAAAGTAGCTGCCTTTCTGCAAAGGTCTGATAACATGCCGGTGTCACTGCTTTTGAGTTTTGACTGCCCGTTTGAAATTACGAACCGTCTCACAACTTTCCTGTTGTACTGATTGCTTTACTTGAGTACTTTTTTGAAGTTATTTTGTGTCTAGAAGTTAATGTTGTTGCACAGATATAATAAGCAGAAACAGTGGCTTTGTTTTGTCCTACAGTATTTCTCTGATGAGTCTTTGATTTTGAGGCAAATGATATCTGCATTCCTTTCTGGTTAGACTTTAGTGTCAAAGTTTTGCTATATTGCAAGTAACTTCTGATCTAAGCAAATCTGCCCTGAAAATGGTGCACAAAGAAAAAAATTGTTATGACTGTAAAATTAAGCATTCAAAAATCAAGAAAATTTGTTTCATCTTCCTTCATTGTTTTGCTCTGTTTTATTTTGTTAAACATTAATGAAACTCTTTTTAAAATTAATGATCTCTTATGCTTCAATAGTGCATGACAGAATAGTGTCTCTGTTTCAGAAAGATTAAGCTTGAGAGGGTGTGTAGGTATTAGGGGTGATGAGGTATTTCCCCACGTTACAGAATTGCCTATTCTTGAATGCCGGATCGTAAGGATGCAGTTTTTTACAGTACTTTGCATGTTACAGTATTTCAGTAAAATTTGATTCAATATTGATACTAGAATTAATTCATTTGGCCTTTAGCTGTAAATGGTCAGCCTTATGCATTTGAAAGCCTAGAGGGTCAGGTTGGAGACCTGGGAGATAAAAAACCCCATAGTCTACCTATAAAAAGGCTTAATAGGTTTGCTCAAGGTTGCAGGGGACCAATGCTCCTTTGGTGGCAGAGGCAGAGAATGCAATTCTCAGTGAACACCTTCAATATCTTGGTGTTCATTTTGTCCTTTAATATCCTGGGAACTCTTGCCTTTTTCACTTTTGATTTCTCTGGAAAGATCCTGTGGGTTTATGGAGAAGTGTGTGCGTTTTTTAAACAATTCTGAGATTCCCCAGATCCTCCTGGGCTCAGAATAATTTTGCGATCATGTGTTGTTTTCTCCTGTATGACTCCTGAATCAAAGGCTAAATCATTTTACATAAGCACAAAGTCTATTTGCAGGCTGTAACAACCCACTGCTTCCCAGCCAGCTCTTTTTTGCCATCTGTCCCTGTTCTTAACCAATCTCTTTGGGTTTCATACACGTGTAAGTGTATGGATAATCGTCAATAATTACAAATATCTAGCTAGTGCTGCTAGTGACCTTTATTGACTTGCCTTTTCTTTTCCCCATCACTCATCACTTGTTTTAGCTGCTTTGGCTAACGCTTCCTAGTTTCTCCTCTTTATGCAGTCCGTCATTAAATATGTGTACCCTTAGCTCCTTTTCAGATCTTGCTGATTTTCCCCCTACCACCTCCTCCACTAGTAGGCTGTTACTTCTCTTACTGAGTCAATGCTTCTACAGTCCGTTGCCAAACTCATGCTAAATTAGTCCTGGACTTCCTTGTACTGCACCTCTTCTTCTGGTCTCTGTGCACATAGGACATAGACCATCTCTTGCATTCCGATTTTTGCCAGGCTCCTAGCCTTCTTCCCTAACCTTCACGAATCACCCCTCCTCTCCATTTGGAGATCCCGCTTACTATTCCATAGTGCTTGAGTGCCCAGAAAGACTTACTAAAGGCACTAGAAAGCGCTTTTCCCTGAATTTTAATGCCTAGCGCATAGCATCTGGGAAATGGAGTGTGGGAGACTTACAGTGAATCTCTGAACCAGCTTCATTCTTCTTTGGGAATGGCATATGCATAAGTTGGTCATCACTATAAACTGAGAGAGACTATGCATGTTCAAGGAATCTTCAGGAATTTGAAAGCCCTTGGGCACATGTAAACCAAGATTTTTTTTCTCTGACTTAAAAACATGTCCAGGTTTAAAAAGATTCTCATAGGTGCAATGAAAGGCATGTATTTGATGTTGTGAGGTTTTAATCCACAAGGCAGGAGTAAGTTTCTCCAGTAAGAGTTTCCAGAACTTTCTGTAGCATTGCATGTGAATAGTAACCTTTCTTCCGCACAAGTTTGTTTTTTTTTTCTGAAACTGCAGAATTGGTTTTACTGAAACTTTCTGAAGCTTTGAGTCAGACAAGCTTCAGTCATGGAATGATCTTCCCAAACTGCCTTGAGAGACATTTGCAACTGAAAGCAGTGCTTTAAGTAGAAATGTTGGGCAGCTTCTGCATTCATGGCTCAACCCCAGTTTAGGCACACTAGTGAGTAATGCATGACTGGAGTTGATAATGTTGTTCCTCATCTGGGCTTTGGTCCTGCAAATACTAGTATAACTTTAATCCTCAAAAATGTTTCTGCTGACAGATTAATATATTTACTGAAAATACTATTAGTTTTGCAAATATGTAGGAGTTTGTAGGTCTTTGATACATATTTTCTTTTGAAAAAGTGCCTTTAGGATTAAAATTAAATTTATAGAATTTCAGATAATGAAAATAACTGTCTCCTTTTAGATAGAGTATTAAGGATTGTCATGGTATCTGCACTCGGATTGTTTTAATACTACATACACTGAAATACAAGTACCACTTCAAGCTTTAGTGGGGTAAGCAAAGTAAAAAGCTGTATTCTCTTTGTAAGAAATCTCCTTCCACTGTACTTAGTATGCAAGAAATGTATCAGCACTCAGAACACTCAGCTGGGAAAATGTGCTTGCCAATTCCAGATTAACATGGTAAATTGATTTCACCGCTTTAAAGGATCTAGTGTTTTCATTAGTGTTGCAGCATTATTCTATCTGTGAACATATTTTAAACATATTTCAAAGTCCCTGCATTTTGAAGTGTATAGTCGAGATTTCTTAGCATTAGTTATCACTGCAGTAAGCAGAGTTTTGACCAGAATATTATTTATGGTGTTTTTTCTTTCTGCTGTGAAGTCTCTTTTATTGTGTTTGAAAAACAAAAAGCAAACCCTTTCATTAAAGGAGAAATGTAACTCTAGTAAGGATTTCTTAATCGTTTATTTACAATGAATGTGTTGGGTGTTTTTCTTCTTTTCTTGTCAATAGGCACAGTGGACAATTGGAAAACTGCACTGTCCGTTCTGTGAGGCCTGCTTAGGGGGCTTTGTTTGCAACACAAAATGTTCCTGTGGACAGTTAGTAAACATACATTTCTGCAAAAGTCGGACTGACTGTCAGCCAGCTTTCTCTATTAAATTGGCAAAATCACCAGGAAAACACTTACCTTGCCTCAAAATCCAGTCTGGTTTTAGCAAGGATACCTTTCGTGAAGCGGGAACTGCAACTTTGGAAATCAAAAATCAAGGTCTTTCATACATGACCAGAAATAATAATGGTACTGAAAGATTAACAGAAGCACTTTCTCTAGAAGTAAGAGCTCCTGGATTTGAGGTGGAAAGTGAAAAACTTCCCTTAAAGGCATTAAATAAAAAAAGAAATCTTTCTGCTTCCTGTCCTGTGAATGATGCATGCACTGTAAAACATTTTCACAGAAGATCACGTAGTTTGGATTTAAATATCAGAGAGACACTTGTTTTGTCACCTGCGTTATATGAAGCTTGCAGTATGGAAACAATTTACCGTAGCCGAAATGAAAATCCACCTATTGACACAAGCAGTGACTTGCAATTGGAGTCTGGTAGGAAAGATGGTAGTTCTTTTCAGGACCTATGTGGTTTCAGTGCTGACAAACTACTGAAAAGGTTTCGAGTTGCTTCCTTTTCCACATTAGTACACAGAGAAGCAGAAAGTGAGTGTGATTTTGAAGCTACTGGACAATCTTCTGGGAGTAACGTTGCTGATGGGTCACCTTTTGTAATGAACCTTTCTTCACCTACGAGTGCTGTAGAAGAGGAACAGTACATCACAGCTGTTGGTCTTGTGCAGCCTATCAGTATTTCATTCCACCAAAAGCTGAGTAAGAGAGAAAGAAACAAGTTGAAAAGCTTAAGGAGAAAACAAAGAAGGGGAGAATGGTGGCTACAGAAGCAAGTAGGTGTTTAAAGTTAGTTAGGGTACTTTTTTATAAAGTTTGGCCTGCTATTATGAATCATTCTGACTTTTTTTTCATGCTGTCTCTTAATACTGGTTTAATGTGGTACTATCTAGAGTCAGGTATCCTTCAGACAAGGATTTATGACCTCTTGCTACGTGTAGTTTTTCCAATTCAACGCAATCAGGTTTCTCTGTGTAAAATCAAACCTTGGTATGTATATATGAGTACTTTCTGTTGGCCTTCTTGTTGTTTTGTAATATAATAATAAGTTTGAAGTGTGAAAAAATACAGTAAAATTTAATCAATGTGATTACAAGAAAACTAAATGTTCAAATGTTCTAATTGAGAATCTCTAGCATTTCAGGATTTCCTAACTTCTAATTAAAGGCATTTTGGATTAACTTCACAGTTAAGAAAAATCTGTGTTTTAAAAGATGTTTGTCTTTATTATTTATTGTAACACAAATATTTTCTCTTTGAGTGAAGAATTGATTGTTGCTATTTAACATAAAAGTCTTTAGCAGGTAAATATTTTGTCTGCAAATCTAACAGCAATGATACATATTCTTATCAATTATACAACCATGGTTTCCTTCTTCAAACCATCTAAAAGAGAACAGAATTAAAGACCGCAGATGGTCATGCAGTTTTTGGTGAGGGGAAGGGGAGAAAGTCTGGGAATGTATCTTAAAATGAATACCACAGTTTTTATTAGCTCTGGAGTTCAGTAGAAAGACTAATGATATGTATGCCTTGAAAAGAAAATTTCTCATCATAAAATTCCTGCTACAAAATACTGTGTGGCCAGCAAGAGCTAACATACTAACTTTCATCAGAGTAGTATCTACTCAAGAAATCATTGCCACTTCAGGTAGGTATGCCATTGTGAATATTCCATTGCTGAAGTGTAGTGACATGTAAAGCTCACGTAAACCTTATTTTACAGATTTTTTTTTAAATGAGATTGCTTTACATTTTATAACCGTCAAGTCTAATTTAATATCTATGCCTTATTGAGAAATACTAAACTTTTCTGAGTGGACTGTGCTTAGGTTAGATATTACATTGTTTTCATTGGTTTGTGTTTAGTGCAATAGGGTATATAGGAAATAATTCATGTATGGATCTTTCATTAGTTCTTTGCTCCTGAATGATTTTCACCCTTAATATTCTGCTATCCTTACTCAGTTCCACTCCGCTCAGGCACCAAGTAACTTCAAGCTCTTTCCTACATACAGTCAACAGAGCCTTTAGAATATAGTACAATGCTGAAGCAGAGCAGTGAATTCAGGATTGAGAGAGAGATACATAGAGGCTGTTTCTCTCAATTAAATGTAAGAACCAGCTTGAAAATGAGAAGGGTCTGGGACATATTATGAGACTTTTCAGTATGGCGTGCATATATTCTTTCGTCTTTGGTAAGGTGCTTTTTTTTAAGAAAGATTTAAATTTTCATGGTGATATCATGAAAACTTCTTCTTATTTTGTAAATTGCTTCTCTGAAACTGAGAGTAAAGAACGTTTCCAAGATCTGGATGTCTGAATATTGAATACTTGTTTTCTAAGAAGTCTGAAGATGCTTACGTGTCCGAGTCCCTAAAACGGCTTTAAAAATTCCAGGCCTCGCTGTTTCTGTTAAATGAAATGATCATGCAGAAGCACAGCGTGTATGAGCATTTACACAGTGATGTCATCTGCAGTCTCTCCAGCCACTTTAATCTTTGTTAGATGTTACTTTCAAGAGTAAAATGTACAAATTTTCCAAGTCTCTGATAGCTGAGAAAGAAAAATACACTTTTAGATTTTTTCTTTTTAAACCATGTTTAACCAATTCCCACATTATTTTGAAGTTTCAAACAGCAAATGATAGTTGTTCAATGTGGTATGTCTAATCAGTAAGAATAAGGTTTTCAAAGTACAAACAGTTAAAAAATAACTATGCAAAACACATCACCTGGTTTCAAATAGTAGTTTTAAGGTGAAGATATTTTGGTATTGCACTGATTTCTTTAACGCTGGTGAAATTCTGTGATCATGGTATGGAAAATTTAAACAGGCCTACTTCTCAGAATCTGTGTCAAGCAGCACATGTGACTAGTGCAGTTGTGTTTCCCATCACTGTGGTACCTTCCCAGGAAAATGTGGATCTAGAAAATCGCTTCCTCTATATGGTCTGACTTGTCGCAAAAGGAGGTGCTCATCTGCCACGTACTTTTTTTGGTGGCTGCTCTGCTCTTGTGTGCCAGTGTAGGTATCCACCCTTTTCTTGCAAGTACCACTTGTCCTCCTTTTTTTTCAGCGTTCTGACACCCCTCCTTGTAAAAATGGTACATTTTGTTACAGTGGCACTTACAATAGAAAGCTGATCTGTAGTACTTTGTAACCATGGTTTCCAGCATACTTACCACGTAGGCATAAGCAATCAGATAGTGAAACTTCACAACGAGAAAAACTCGTAAACCTCTGAGTGGATGGAATGAAAGAGTTTTAATAAATGACAATGGGAAGTATTCCATTTAAGTGCTTTTTTGAGAAGTACTTCAGTGCAGCAGGACTCTAATGTGAGGTGAATCTTTTCTAAGCTCTCTCTGTTAAAGGAACTGTGCATCTCAGTTTTACCTTTAATTGAAGCTTGAGAGCGGTCCAGGAGAACAGACCTGTTGAGGCTTTGGACTTTCTTTGTAAATGCATAGGCTGCTTTCCTGAATTTATTTTGTAATATGACTTTGTCTGTCAAACATTTTTACTGTCTTGCTATAAGCCAAAATGCGCCCGTAAACATGGTGTTGTGACAGAATGCAGACTATTATGAAGTTGAAGTATGTAAACTTGGACTGTGAATAGAAGTGATTATGTGAGCTCCAGAGCCACCCTTGATCCCGGAGGCCTGCGCTGGTGCAGGCTGTGCGGTGTGGGTGTGGGACCGAGCCAGCCTGCTGACAGCGGAGGGACGCAGCCTTCCTCCGCCTGCTCTGCGGAGAGAGCTCTTAGTGCCTGCGAGGGGGATGCCTGCGCTTTGTGTGTGTGTGCGTATGTACGCACGCGTGTGTTCGTGGGAGGTTTTTAGGTTTCTGGTGTATTGCTAGGGTGTGATAATAACTGCTTAAGTCTAGGAATTGCCAGTATTAATAATGATTCTTGTTATTGTTGCTGTAACTCAGAAGAAGTATTTCTGTTATGAATTCCCATTTGCATGTATCTTGTTGCAAGTTTGCATTGTTTGCTGATGTCTGAATCTTGTAATAATTTTCTGAAAGATCTTGGACAGAACTGTGCCTCCAGTTTTGTTTCATTTTTCTTCACAATCATTTTGCGTAGAGGAAAACTATATAGCCAGCTTCAGAACTGCAGTATCCTCTTGTGAATACTCCCGATCCATCAGAAAGGTTATTGGCCTTTTTGCTTCATTTTGTAACTTGACATATCACCAGTTCCTTTCTATCTTTTGTAAGACATGAAAGTTTTATCTTACAAAGGTAGCTAAGTGGTCAGTTTCCATGAAATGAGTTTGCTTTCATGCTCCCAGTGTTAATCGGAACTCAAGATAAACAGATGGGTGAGATACACTGCATTGTTTACCCACACTGTCAGGTGTGGATATCTTGCCCTGCAGCCTTGAGTTTTGAAGTCCATGCAGATGTTCTCTAGCAGATAACAGTGTTGTAGTGAAGGCACTAGGCTTCAAAGGTTTAACTTGTGACCTTAGTTTACTAGATGTATGCTTGTCTTTTTCATTTGTACATTAGTTTATAATTCTTTTTCTTGCACTGTCATGTTTGTATTTAAACTGTAAATCCTTCAGGTGTCTTGTCATGTGTTTGTGTATTTGGATTGCAGTCACGCTTTCCATGATGATACTGGTAACAAGGATTACCCTCAGACTGCTCATGGATTCCTCGGTTGTTGGAGGGCTAAAAGCATTATTTAGTGTTGGTACCAAAGTGAAGCAGGAAGAGAAGGACATGAAATTAAATGAAATCACATCTGGAGAAGGCAAGCAGTAACTACAAGGTCTCAACTATGACCCTTGTTAGGGAAATATGAGGCCCTGGAGAAGATGCGTAAATTAAGGAAAGAGGGAACAGACCTAATCCCGTAGCCTGAGTTCTGTACCAAACGGCAGTGGATTTAATATGGAGTAATACTCAGTTGCAGTGACTGACTAGCTGTGAATTCTCAGAATTAAGATGGAGGGATGCAATAGTGGGAGCGCATTTTGACTCTGTGCGGCTTGTGCTGTATCTGCATCAGCTTTATTCATTGACTTCCTTGAGTGATTGTAAAAGCACTGGAGATCAAATATTAATGGAAACCTATCCAACTCGGGAAGGGTGGAAACTCTGATTTCAGTGTTCAAAACGACTCCTGGTGTGGATAAGTTCTCAAAATAACCTGGCAATTTTTAAGTTCCATACTTAACTGATTGAACTTATGTTTACAGCACAATAAAGTTTGAAATAAAGATGACTGAAGTGCTTCTGTGTTAACATGCAGTTGCAGAGTTCACAGTCCCTGGCCTGATACATCTATGATTTACTCTTGCTGAAACAGTAGTATTGCATGGATGGTGCTATAGCATTAGTGGTTTAAGAGCCACTGAGCAGCAAGTCTGCAGGGTGCTACACTCACATCTTGTTTATGGGCAAAGAAGAAATACACATTGTGTGTATAAAGCCAAGAATTTATTCTTCGTATAACTGAAATTTTAAGAGTGTGATTATGGTTAGTTCAGATTCAGTAACGATGTCACATTTTTGAAAATGCCATCAATTAGAAAGAAACATATTCATCTTCATTAAGTAAGGCTTCCTGCCCGTAGTCCTCATAAAAGAAATCCAACAGTTTGACAAATGGTTAATAAAATCTTAATCTTTTGTAGCTCGAAAAGAAAAAGTTTAAGTGATCATATTTCAATCTTTGTGTATCTCATTTTATTCTGCATATACAGTGAGGAGAGCTTGCATTACTTTTGCTAATAAATTTTGTATGATTAGTAAAAGTATATAGAAGTAAATAAATGTTTAACATTATGAGCACTTACTCAAAGAAAGCATTTGATGCCTCTCCCAACTTTTAATGGTGTTATCTATTTCATTTGTATTTCATTCAATAGCTTTTAAAAGCCATTTTGAATTTTGACTGTGATTTAGACTTATTGCTAAAGTGCACTGCTAATACAGATTCTGAAGCAAATTGCAGTTAATTAGCTAGCAGCTTGAGAACTAAAATGTGGTCTTAGCTAAGGGAGTCTGAGAGGAAGCAACTGGTGAAGAAAGATAATTCTGTAATTATTCCATAAATGCAAAAATTTTAATTCATGGTTTGGTAGAAACTGTATAGAAAATGAAGAAATATCTAACAAAAAAAAAAAAAAAAAGGGAAAAAAGAGTTTAATGGACTTTTTTTAAAAATAAAATTAGAGGATCAAAATAGATCTATTTTAGAGTATCTCAGCTTCCATTTTCAGGTTAAAATTAGTGTATCTTAGGAAAAGGAGAGCTAGAATTATGTGCAACTCTGAAATGCACTTCAGTGGATAAACAAAACTCCAACTGTGTGCCTACTCCACTATTGTTCTTGTCATATTAGTTTTCATGCAAAGCAATCCACTGGTTAAGAAAATAAGTCATAGAAAGCTATTTAATTCATAAGAAACAGAGCAAAAACATTCATTAAAACATAACGAAGGGCTTAACTGCAGACATGGTGAAGGAAGGAAAAACATCAAGTAGTGAAAGTAACCATGCAATGTGTAGTGTTACA